ATTATTATTTTCCACAATTAATTAGAGCTATTGTTATGTCAGTAAGATATTCAGCAATCTGTGGAGTTCTTTTAAAAGAAAGAGTCTAATAGAATTAAAGAAAAAAGAGAAGCCAAAAAGAAAGAAGAATTCCAATGTAGAAGTTTCTAATATAGAAGGGGTTCCATCCTCAATTCAAGCAACAGCTATTCAACCTTCTACCTCTTCACCAACAAGAGAACATGTCAGAGCCAACAATGGTCAATTCTCTTCATTGCAGAGCTATGTTGCAGAAGATGAACAAGTTGTTTTTTTAACACTTGTTAAAGATTGGATCAAAAAACCTGACACAAGAGCAACACAACCTTCAGCAGACGCAATTAATTTGCTTGATATGGAATCAGATGGTGCAGATCTTTATTCAGATAATGGTCAATCAGACTCAGAAGAAGCACAACAATTGTAAATAAATAAATCAGTTTTACTCAAATTATGAAAATTGTAATGGTCAACAGAGTAAATTAAGGGAAACTTTCAGTCAAATACCAACACACTAAAAGCCGCATAGAAACTGAATGTTCACCGAATAGTCACTGAATGTTTACCATATAATAACTGAATGGTTACTGAATATTTATTGAATAGTTACCCACCAATTTCATTCCTTTACCCAACAATCAACCGACTACCAACCAACTAACACTGAACTAAAACGGTCAGGAGAGTATGGGCTGATATTCGATTAATTTCTGGAAAATCGTTCAGTTGTTTTCGGAAACAAGTTGGGGAAAATTAGGGTTGTAGTCGGTGATAGTAGGGTTGTGGATGGGGTTTAGACGGAACATAGCCAACTAAAAACCAACTATAACACTGTCTATTACCCAAGTACTCCACTCTTAGGACCCATGTGTTTCACACCACTACAACATACAACATCAAAACAAATAGCTAAACATCATCTCTTAGAAGAAGTGCACCTTTGAATTTCTCTGTGCAATTCCGCGAGTTAAATACAACAAGACAATAATTAAATACTTTTTAATATATATTCCAGATAGAAAATGCCTAGAATTGGTATTGTAGGAGGTGGTCCAGGAGGACTTTCAACTGCCAGTATGTTTTATTTTGATTTTTATTATGTTTAAATACAATATTTTTTGTAAACTATTTAAAAACTATTGAAATACACTATTGAAATACTATTGAAATACTTAGTGATTTTGGCTAGTAAGGGATTTGATGTAACCATTTTTGAAAAATCCAAAGTAATTGGTGGTAGAACTTCATCATTCAATGTTGGCCATTCCAAATTTGATTTGGGTCCAACTTTTCTCATGATGAAATTTGTTTTGGATAAAGTTTTTCAAGATGCTGGAAAGGATTCATCGAATTATATGAAATTCCAACAATTAAATCCAATGTACAGATTACAATATAATCCAGATAAGCATATGGATTGTTATGATTTAACACAAAAATCAAAAATGATTGGTGAAATGAAAAGATGTTTCCCACAAGATGTGAAAGGATATGAAGAATGGGTTGATTGGGAAACTCAAAGATATGAAAAGTTATTACCACTCTTACAAAAGGCTTACACTTCACATAGTGACGTTGTGTCAATGGACGCAATTCGTGCAATTCCATATATGCAATTTCCAAAATCACTTCATGAAATGTTAGGTGGTTTCTATAAGGATCCATTGACCAAGTTATCTTTCAGTTTCCAAGCTAAATATTTGGGAATGAGTCCATATACTTGTCCTGCTTTTTATGGAATAATTCCATATGTTGAACATGCATTTGGTGTTTATCATGTTGAAGGAGGTCTTTCAGAAATTACAAGAACTATGGCCATTGCTGCAACTGAGAATGGAACAAAGATTAAGCTTAATACTCCAGTGACACAATTAATTGTCGATCAAGCTAATAGACGTGTGAAAGGTGTCAAAGTTATGGAAGAAGGTCAAGAAGAGAATGAATATTATTTTGATGAAGTTGTTTTGAATGCTGACTTCCCTTATGCTGTAAATAATTTAATTCCAAATGCTGAAAATTTAATGAAACAATGGAAACCAAGTAAGCTTGCCAAGATGAAATATTCATGTTCCACATTTATGCTTTATTTGGCACTTGACAAGGAATATCCTGAAATTCAACACCATACCATTTCATTTGCTGATGATTATGCTGCCAATTTGAAGGCCATTCAAGAGGGAAGATTAACAGAAGATTTGTCGATTTATGTGAGAAATTCATGTGTTAATGACAAGACAGTTTCACCAAAGGGTAAATCTGGTATCTATGTTTTGGCTCCAATACCTAATCTCATTGATAGTCAAGGACAAATCGATTGGAATGATCAAAATACTGTAAAGAGATGTAGAGAAATTGTTTTGAACCATTTGGAAAAGAGAGTTGGAATGACTGATATAAGACAACATATTGAAGATGAATTGGTCATTACTCCAAAGACATGGCAAAACAATAATATTTACAATGGTAGCGTCTTTTCATTGTCGCACAATCTCTTACAAATGTTATCCATGCGTCCAAGAAATAAGTTCAACGAATTGGAGGGATTGTACTTGACTGGTGCTCACACTTCTCCAGGTTCTGGACTTCCAACAATCTTTGAAAGTGGAAGAATGGTTACTGAACTATTGTGTAACAAATATGGTGTACAATATCAAAGATCTAGTTTGTTACATCAAAAATAAAAATCTAGAGTTTATTGGAGATCAGCAAGTTCAGTTTCCTTTTGCTTTAACAAATCAACAGTGCAAGCATATGGTGTTTCGAAATCCAAGTGATATTCACAAGTGGATGGTTCATCAACCTTACCCAAAACATTTTGAGGACCACACTTGAAGTGAACAATGGCCTTTCTGGCACCAACCTTCCAACAATGTTGACCATCAGTGAAGGACATTTGGTTAGTTTCAGTGTTGAATTCCTTAAAGTTACCAAGGAGAGTAGAGGAGTGACCTTCTTTTTGATGAGCATTATTGAATGGACAAACTTCATACTTGTATTTCTTTTGTTCCCATTCGAAACATCTTTCACTAATCTTGAAATATTCACCATTCTTACCATAATTGATAGCCAATTTCTTTTGGAGATCACTATGTGAGTTCTTTAAGGTGTCAAGTTCATTGTTAACTTCATTATACTTATTTCTAGCTTCCTCAGCATCTTTTAAAATTAAATTAAGGGATTGTTTGTCATGTACATTGTGGTGGAATCGGAGTTTATACAGGGAAATGATGTGTTTAAGGGATTGAATTGGTTCAGTAAGAATGGATGATAGGGCTTTGTTGATTATTTTAAAAATTTAAAACTACTTACCTGGCAACTTGAAGTTATTAAGTTCATCATCATCAAAAAATTGGGCTGGTTCTTCAACTTTTGGAGGTTCAACATTTTCTCCAGTTGGTTGTTCTCCTTCAGTATTTTCTCCAGTTGGTTGGTCAACTGCAACAGGTGTTGGTGCTGGTTCTTCCTTTTCTTTGGCAGCTTGAGCTTCTTCCCAATCTCTCATCTTCTTAGCTCTGAGCAAGTCCTTTTCGAGTCTTTCAACTCTTTCAGCTTCTTCCTTCTTTGTTTGCAATTCATTTAATGTGGTTTCCTTTTCAGTAATCTTGGATTGCAAATCATCTGATTGAGTTTTCATTTCAGCAAGCTTATTCTTACCATATTCAAGATCAGCATAGACAGAATGGATTGCTGATTTAATGGCAGCAATTTCATTTTGTAAACTAGCAACAATTTCCTTTCCTAAATCTTTACAGGTATCTTCACAAACTCTGAGAGATGCTTCACCCATAGAAGAGGCAAAGTTTTCATCGGAACCATCACAACAATCACAAACACCACTATTCAATTAATAATAATATTTAAATACATCTAAATGATCCTCGTATTCATGTACTTACTCGTTAACCTTGCTGTGGGAAATGTATTGTGATTTGTAGTGCTTATTTCTACAATAGAATTTAACATCATCACTAAAAGAAAGATCGGAATTACTACAAGCACTTGTAGCTGGTTCATCACTTCCATCAGCACAATCACAATAATTATCATTTACAGAAGAGAAGGGAATTTCCTCATTCGATTTTAAACATTTAAATTTTTGGTTTTCAGATGTTTGTGTGTATTTATCCAACAAATCGCTTGGCACTCCGTATGTTGTTCTTTCCTTTGGAGTCAAGGATCCATTGACAGCAAAGATAGTGGCCATCATCAGGATAACTACAACAGCCAACATACAACAACTAGTAGCTGAGGTTTTCATTGTATTCATTTTTTTAGGATTTGAAAAACGTGTTTTCTTTGTATCGATACATAAAGATCGGAAGTAAGCTTTAAGAATCATCATCATCATATGAATGTCTAATATTATTGGTAGAAATAGATTCTGAATATCAAGGTGAATGAATATAGATAATAAGAGAACATGTGAGAGATTAGAGAATAAATTAGAGTTATATTTTTAAACAACATTTTCAGTGGAAAAGTTAATTGGTACACAATCAAGTGTTTTCAAATTAATGAGAACAATTGTTGGACAAGAAACAAATTCAGGAACACAAACCAAACGAGATTTAGTTTCTTTCACTGTCACGAGGGTTGTTTCAAATTTAGGGCAATTACCACAAATCATAATGTGGGGTGTATGTTTCATTATAAATGGATCAGTATCTTTGAATGGATAACATCCTAATCATAAGTTTCAGTTTTACAAAGATAATTATCAAATACTTACTCATGGTATCAGGGGCACTTGGTGCATAATGTCCCCATTGTAATAAGTTCTTCATTACTTCCAATCTAGAGGAGTAGGTTGAGTACTTTTCAATTTCTGCAACAGTTTGACCAGAAGTAACAAAAACACTGAGAATTGTGTTAAGATTAAATTTGAACAAATTAGAAAACTTACTCCAATCCATTCTCTTGAATCAAATGTGGATTAGTAACAAGACGACATGTAGAGAAAGGGGAACTTCTTTGAAGCATAAATGGGTGGATAGGCTGTTGTGGAATAGTTACGTTCGATGGATCATTAGGACCAGGCATTACATCAACGTCAACAGTATTCACCAATTGTTCTACGAGTCCATCGAATGATTTCATGTGACCAGCAATCGAGCTCAATTCTTTTGGTCTCAATGACTAGATTGTAAATATAATGTCACTCGAAGGAAAAATGTTGAACTACTTACACCTCTGACATCAAATCTCTTTCCTTCATCTTCAGCTGCAATAACACCATTTCCTGCAATAATTACACGTGAAATCTTAGCTGCAACATCATTAACAAAAGCTCCACTTCCAGCTAATCCATTAATAAAATCAAATGCCATTTGTGTGGCAACAACATCATATTTTGGATGACCAACACAAACGCCAGAAATTACAGCCAAATAGGCATCCTTTTGAGGAACTGTGATAGATCTTTGAGGTGGTGGATCATTAAAAACGATATCTTTGGCGATAAATGTTCCAGAACTATCAATTTGTCCATACAAGCCAGCAATAATACCTGTGACTAATTGACTTGTCATTAATCTATTCTTCTCAGAGTTCTTACTTTCAAAAACGACATTACATCTCGAACCATTCAAATCTTCCAAAATTAAATAATCACTATCTGATACAAAGTTGTCTAATAATTCAACCTTCTCAGCTTCAAAGTTTTTTTCGGTAGTGAATTCTCTCAAAATATTTGGCTTTAGTTTCATTTCCTTGTAAAGAGTACCAGCAACAGTATATTCCACTCCCATAGTGAGATCCAACATTGATTTTGCTGTTGTGGCATTTGGATACATTTTAGAAATTTTCTTCAAGAGAGCAGGCTTCATAGTCTTGATTCTATGAGCATATAATTTAGAAAATTGTTGTGTAAATGTTTTATCATTTAGAAGGAAAAGATCCTTTGATGCGGAGGTGTGTTGTGTCTGTTCTCTTTCAACTTTTTCAGTGTGTGTTGTACTTGCCGATGATGGCTTGTTTAAAAGTGAAGAAGAAGCAATATTGTTGGCCAAAGTTTTTGATGATGACATTTTTTTTAAACTGGTTATTTTTTAAATATTTTGGCGGGGTTTTCACTTCTTGCAGGTATTGGAATTGTTCAATACAATCCAAAGAGTAATTCAAAGTGATATGTTCTACAATTTTAATAACTCATTTCATCTGGTTGAGGACCCTCTTCTTCATCTGTATCATTGTAATAAGAATAATAAGGAATATATTCACTGATAACATCGTTCACATTCGATTCTGCCTCTGTAAATTCCATTTCATCCATTCCTTCAGCTAAATACCAATTTACAAATGCTTTTCTTCTAAACAACTTTGAGAACTCCTCTGAAGTGAATTTCAAGTAGTTACTCATAGCACTTGAACTAGCCAGGAGAGAGCCACTTCTTTTGAATCCTTGTTGAGCAACTTTGCAATAGGAAGATTGAAAGTTATTTGGAATCCATTCATGAAAGTACGAGCTTTGATAAATACATGTTCTAAATAGTTCGTTTTCGGCATTGGAGGTAGTAAAGTCTCCTCTAAAGGTGGCTGAACAAGTGTAATATCGTCCCTCTTTGGGATTGAGTGAGGCCAAAAAGTGCGAAGGAACCAACAATTGGCGTACAATGTCTGTAAGTTGAATGTCAGTGTTATCCATCCCCTTAATTTGTTTTCCAAGAGGTGCCATTGAAGACACTAAAAAGTGAATACGAGGGAATGGTATCATGTTAGTTGCCAGCTTTCTCATATCATTATTGACGAACCCATTAAATCTGAACGAGCAAGTTTCAGCACATAGCGACTGAGCAATAACCTTATTCACATCTTCTAGATTTGCTTTTTCTAATTCAATCTTATTTCTACAAATATTATACACAGCTTCATTATCATAAAATTTCACATAATCAACAAATTCTACAAGGTTTTGCAATTGTAGTATTGAGTTGTATGGTGCCAGCACTCCGTCTGACACGTTCT